CATTTGTACTTCTTGCCATTGTTGTTGATATTCCTGTAACTGTTGGAGACTTTCTTCCTGTTTCCTTTCTTGTTCCAGTTACCACTGTTGTAATCTCTTATCTTGTTTATTTCTTTCTCCTCCAACCACTGCTGCAGTTTCTCTTGTTTATTTGCTGTTCGAGCTGCCACTGCTGTTGTCTCTCTTCTTGTTTCTTTCTTTTTCATCCAACAACTGCTGTAATCTATCTTCATGTTTCTTTTCTCGTTCTTCTTGTTTCTTTTGCTGTTCTTTTATTGCTGCCATCAAATCTGCTAAGCTGTAGTTTGATTTGGCACTTCTCGTTTCCATCTTTTTTTTTCTTTTATCGGTCCCACTCTCTGACACCAATTTGTTTCGTCTCTGGTCATTTGTTAATTTCCCGTAAAAATTCTTTCCTAAGAACTTCAGCGATACAAGTCCTTTCCTAAATAAAACTAGTTTATTCTTTCTCAATACAACTTTACAATACACTTAATTTCCACAGTCACTTTAACTTAAACACACGCTATAATTCACAACGATTCACGATTATCTGTCTCCCCTCTCTCCGCTTTTTTTGCCGGGCTTATATACTAAAATAGAGGGTGCCTGGAAAAGACTAGAGTTGCCAAGAAAAGTGATGATCCTTCTAGAAACTCGTGTGACTACCGCTGTCGTAACAGTATGTTCAAAGCTCTCGCTAGAGCACGTGATCAGAAGAGCGTTCTCGGGTAAAACTGATTTCTCTTGATGGTGAAACGATAGAATAACAGAAGATTCGTCATGATATTTATCATGAAGTAATTCTGTAATCTTTGACTAACGAGTTAGCGAGAATTAGGGAGAGACTGGATACAAGTGTACATCACAATAAACAATCTAATTTAACAATGTTTATGTGTGTATTTACATAAACAGTATTTGTGGTTGCCTTTACTAGAGAGTTAGATTTACAGCAATTTTTCCGGGTTTACTCAGTTCAGATTTTGTTCTAAACAGAAGAAGTCTCATGTTACTTAGTAAAGTCTGTAACGTGAAACTTACCTAATAAGGTTTCTCTACCCACATTATTTGTCATTCCCAGTAGAAAATAAAAGAGGTCATAACCTCAAGACATTATCTGACAGCCAATAGAAAAAACGGCTGTCTAACTTCACATACATTGTACAACTTTACAATCATCCTCCCCACAGGCAAACAAAAGGTGTTATCTGATGCGAATGGCACAGAACAATAGGTAGATAGAGCACCAGCAAGTTCAATAGATATGCTATATTAGCAGTATCAGAAACTTCACATTTGTTTCCCAAACCTTAAAATGGACTACACGAATATCACGTAGGACAGTGCATATTTACTTCTACTGGACTAGATGAAAAAGTTGATGCTATGAAATAGTCAATGAGATTATTCTTCTGTTCATTTCAATATAAACACTTTTAACTTCGACATAAAATCATACAGATCATATCCTTGATAATATAAATCAGTATATATGTGTTAGCATACAAACAAAATATTCCCTTGGGACTTGTACTCAGCCATACAAGGACACTGGATCCACATGAGTCACTGCTGCTAGTGTGCCAATGGAGTGATGTGACTTGTACTGAACAAACATAAAAGCTCCACATAAACAGAACGTGATCTATCAGATACAGCGAATGTAATACATGAGACATGAGGAAAGAATGTTATGCAAGATAGAAACATGACATTTAACATTCACATAACACTCTTTCCTTATATATTGCATTCCTTTCAGAATGTCCAGCAGTTGTTTATCATTAACCAATAGGCTTGTTTCTGGCTTGAAAAAAGTGTATTACTGTGAAAAATAATAATAAATTAATTTAAAAAAGCTATCTCTCAGGCCCACATGGAATTGAAAACACAAAGTGGGTGTTGATGAACTGGTGGTAACAGAAAAGAATTACGAAACATGTTTTCGTGATAAAATAGAGAAATTTAGAAAATGTCAGGAAGGAGTTTTTAAGGTACAATTAAAAAAAAAGCTAAGTTACAACATAAGAACCTCTCAGGGTACTATAGATGATGTCCAGTGAAGGGTTTCAGTACACACATCAAAGGATACAGTAAGTGGTTTATTAACACAATATCACATTTGCAAAAATTAATAAAGTTCTTACCTCAAATGGAAAAGTATTTCTAATATTTTGCTTCATAACACTTTATTTCCACAGTATTATTGTCCTTGGTCTAAAAATCATTGATACATATCTAAAATACCAAGATTGCTTACTATGATCATTTTATTTTACATGGGTTATACTAAAGACTTCCTACTATCCAATACAGAAGATCTGATTATAAGTCATTATATATAAACATATTTAATAACTATGTACATAACAAATAGCTAATGGCTGATTATTGAGGTATAATCCACAGTATCCTTCTGTAAGTCAGGCCACTTAAATCCCAGTGTAATGACATTTTAGATATAAAATCAACAAGTACTGTAACATGACCATCATATTATCCTTAATAAGTTATATCCTACAGCAAATATTTAATTTCTTATATTCATCCGCATGAAAACTAAGTTCACATGTAACCCAACCATGCAGTAATCAACATACTTTCCACAACCAAATTTAACAAACTGCACGTGTAACAGTTGAATTAAATACAAATCAAAATCTGAAGAACAGTATCATTACTCAGAGCTTCTGTAATATCCTTACACTTATACAAAACAATACATATATCTCATGCCCTTGAATAAACACATGTAAAAAAAAAAAGTTCTAGTAGCAAATAAATATTCATGCAAGTTTTAAAAATAAACTGGATACAATCTACTCATTTCATAATTGAAGTTTGTATAAATGGCACAATTATATGCATGCAAATACTTTTTGAATAACTACTTTGTACTTTATTATATAAGGCAGACACACTGCCATTTCAATCCATCAGTTTATGCATCATATCATACAGTATCAAACTTGATAGAAGCATTATGTATGTATGTATGAACAATAAACCATAACTTCAGATGCATATATATTCATCCTTTGTGTAAACGAAACTGGGAAGGATTATATCAGCTAGGGTAAGGTGATTGCCTGGTCAGTATGGTACAAAATGGCATGGTACTTGTCCATTCCCATTATACTAAGAAATGGAGCTTTGACCACAGTACGTTTGAATACATCATGGCTGTGCTAAGGATATTGATTCTGCTATTACTCTGGAAGAGTATGTGGTGGCTTATGGAAATAATGTTTATTTGTAGTTCAAAAGAGGGTTTGTTCACCTCCACATCCTGATAATGCCCCTGCTCATGGTAATACAATATTTTATAAAAACAATGCATAATTAAGCAGTGTATACATCAATTCTGAAGATACTGTGCACAGCCATTTTATAAACGTGGTTAATTTTTAACGATTAAAATCTGGAAAAATTAGGAGAAACACACTTTTTCAAATACAATGAAGCCTAATTTAAAGAGTAATTAGGCTTGTTACACTTGAATTGTACTCCAAATGCCTAAATATAATTATCCTTAAAATTTCCACAAATCCAACTGTAAAAAAAATTAGCCAAACAGAAAACATACTGATAAATACAAGGATATATTATCACACCAAATAAGTGATAAAGGTTACAACTCAGGCTTTCATATAATTTGGATAATTTCTTGTTACGAAACACAATTTTTCATATTAAGTTCTTTCATGCCAATTAATATATTTTTTTTTAATTCTGAAAATTTCTTCTCACAAACACACTAATCATGTAGTGTATGTGTTTGAAAACTCTGTATGAATTGTTTCTCCATAATTTATCTAATCTTACAGTTTTAAATTAACACAAACACACTAATCATGTAGAGTATGTGTTTGAAAACTCTGTATGAATTGTTTCTCCATAATTTATCTAATCTTACAGTTTTAGATTAACATTACACTCAACTCACTCTACTTAATCTTGTAGTGTTTTCTACATGTAAATCACTCATTTATTTTCAAGTCACTATTAGTTTAAAATTCTCTGAGATGCATTACACAATCTTGTGGGTTGTTTTCCCCTCCAGTGTAAATCTTTCATGGTTTGTAAGGTCAATGGAAGTTCTAATTTATTTGCTACACAAACCTGTAAATATGCATGGTTCATTTCTATACTGATATCAGTTTTATAAATATTAACAGTGAAAATTTTCAATAACAATACTTTATGTTTTCCCAAACAATACAAACTCCATCTGATGCAGAAAGATGCATCCATTTTTAACTGAAAATTCTGTAAACAGAACTTCTCCACAGTATGTATCTTCTGCTGTGTTGCACTATTTCCCCTCAATGCTTTATTTTTAACTACACAAATCTGTGATTTCTCTACATTTCAGTATTCTTTTATTTCCCTTTTGGTAACTTGTTGCCACACGTTACGTAGTTGTAAAATGTGATACAGAATCTCCTTCATCCCCAAGATTTGATGGTATTTGTACAGGAAGCTTTAAGTGTTACAAAATGATAGCCAGGAAACAGATTTCCACAACAGCTGTCAAGGTATGTATTTCGATCACAAATTAAAAGGTATATGCAAACAATTTTACTAACTGTAGGAAACAAAATGTTTCATGTTTTTTACAACACATTTATAAAATTATAAGGTTTAAATTTAAATGTGGCTAAGTTGATGCTTTTTCAAATTTGAAGTCTGTGAAAATTTTTTTTCCACAAACATCACAACTGTAAGGTTTCTCCCCAGTATGCATTCTGTAATGTCTTTTTAGGTTATTATTACTTCCAAACTCTTTTCCACAAACAAAACAATTGTAAGGCTTCTCCCCTGTGTGTACCCTCTGATGTATTTTCAGGTTACTATTATTACTAAATTTCTTTTCACACACTACACAAGTAATTGTTTTCTCTCTTGTATGTATTCTCTCATGTATTTTTAGGTCCTTATATTTTTCACATTGTTTACCACACACAACACATCTATATTGCTTTTCTTCACTATGTAGCCTTTCATGTTTTTTAAGTGAACTACTACTTATAAATTTCTTACCACAAACATCACAAGTGTAAGGTTTATCACCAGTGTGAATTCTCTGATGTATTTTTAAGCTGTTTTTACTTCCAATCTCTTTTCCACAGACTTCACAATTGTATGGTTTCTCCCCTGAGTGTACTCTCTGATGTATTTTTAGGTTACTACTACTTCTAAATTCTTTTCCACACACAACACAGCTGTATGGTTTCTCCCCAGTGTGTATCCTCTCATGTATTTTTAGATCACTATTTCTTGCATACTGATTACCACAAACAACACAGCTGTACTGTTTTTCTCCAGTGTGTATTCTTTCATGTTTTTTTAGGGAACTACTACTTCTAAATTTTTTGTCACAGACTACACAACTGTAAGGTTTCTCTCCAGTGTGTATCCTCTGATGAATTTTTAGGTTGCTATTTGTTCCAAATTCTTTGCCACACATTTCACAACTGTATGGCTTTTCCCCAGTGTGTATCCTCTGATGTCTTTTCAGGAAATTTTTACAGTAAAATTCTTTACCACACAGTATGCAACTGAATGGTTTCTCCCCACTGTGTATCCTCTGATGTATTTTTAGATGACTGTTTGTTCCAAATTCTTTGCCACACACTACACAACTGTATGGTTTCTCTCCTGTATGTATCCTCTGATGAATTTTCAGATGACTGCTTGTTCCAAATTCTTTGCCACACATTACACAACTGTATGGTTTCTCCCCAGTGTGTGTCCTCTCATGTTTTTGTAGTACACTTTTTCTATCAAATTCTTTACTACAGAAAATACAACAAAACCTTTTATTTCTTTCATGGAGAATGCAATGTTGTTTTATGTTATTCCCTACTGAATATGTTTTGCTAATAGTGTCACTATTGTTCAGTTTCTGAAATTTGCTGTTTTCTGTTCTTGTAAAAAGAAACTCCTTTCCACAACCATTGTTCCTGTAGGTCTTTGGATCTACAATAAAAAAAATTGTTGAAGAAAGAAAGTTATTAATAACCTCATTATACATGACTTTGATATCTTATAAACATAGCTTATAACACAAACTACAAAAAAACATTCATAATAACATTTAAAACACATATATGTACCGTAAACAATACAAATGTCTGGAAAATGAAATGATATTGATGTCATATCCTATCTTTAGGATGAAGCTTGTATTTGAAAGGAACATTTCTGTAGATGATATAGAGCATAATATGAAAGAGACTATGAAGTTTTTATAAGACAGAGTAAATGATGTCAAACAAAACAAAAAAGAAAGTTCTATTATATAGTGAATGGTATACCAGCTCACAAAGGAAGATTTTGCCTGGTAAAAATGAATGATATCAAATCATAATCAGAAGTTAACATTCTCTAACATTGAAAATGTATTTCCAACAGGTACTTACCTCCCTCACCCATAGCTATCTTGACCTTCATTTACCCTCTAGGCATTGGTAAACTTTTAAAAAGAGCACCAGTCTTTTATACCCTATATTTTTTTCATAATTACAACAACATGTGCTGATCATGTGGCCACCCTCCACCAATCCCACTGTGCCCTCTACCCTTGCAGCACAATCCTCACTTTCGAGAATTGGCATATACAAACCAGAAAACACCAGCAAATCAATGGGGAGGAAGGGTGGAAAGTAAGTGAACAGAGGCAAATACCTATCGGAAATAAATTTTCAGTGTTAGAAAATGTTAACTTCCAAAATGGTACTCCTCCGCTCCCACATGAAGGCGCAAAAACAAATAAATAAGCAGAGAGCAACCACTATGAAAAAAGCAGGTGTGCCACAATTAAAATATGAGGGACACCTGTGTGGTATAGCACTACTTCTGGAACAGACATGCTCTTCATCCAGTAAAAATAATAAGACATGTAAAGCAGAAAACATCCAGGGGAAGCATCTTGGGATACAACATATTATGACAAGTGCAGTCAAAGGACAAAAACAACATGGAAGCACCTTGCATAAGTTTGTAAAATCAACAAATGCGGTTCGCCTGGGCAAAACCATCCAGGGGAACTGCCTTGCATTGCTATCAAGATAACCAAGTGATGTCTACCCAGACAAAAACATCTGGGAGGAGCTCTTTGGTATACATTGGATTATGTCAAGTGTGGTCCATCTGGGCAGAAAACATCCAGTGGAAGCACCTTGCATACAGATTTTGTACCATATTGTGTGTATAATATACAGCAATAGCCCTGTTCTCATCAAGTGAGTACATATGGCTATGAGATTATGTTATTGTATAAAACCCACTCTTGAGGAAACCTCCACAGTCCACCACTCCAGCAACTAGGAACCAGAAGTGGAAAGAACCACTGTGCTCCACTAGAAGAAAGAGGGGTTGGGGTGTCCAGAGGAATGACTCACTGGAGACAATGCAATGAGTGTCTGCATTTCTCTATTTTGAAAAGCAGAAAGACCCAGATTATAAGAATCACTGGTCAGTAGGAATGGGCAAAAATCCCATGAAGTCCATGAGTGATGGTCCTTAGGATATATACATATATATATATATAGAGAGAGAGAGAGATAAAAAATGTGATATATATAGATACACCACCGGAAAAGCGTACAGTGGTCTTACAGAAACACCTCATCTTCACAGTGAGCATTGGAGAAGTATACAGATACAGTGCTAGTATATAAAATTCAGCATACCTGACCAGGCAACACACACCACCAGGTGGGATCCTGAAATATGATGTATCAGCAATGATAAAAAGAGAAAAAAAATGAATATAACGACTTACTCAAGTCACAGACAAACAGATGTGTGTAGAATTGCCATAGGAGGAACACAATATCTGCCCGAGAAGACACAGTTGTGCAGAGAAAGAGTGATGAAAGTATAGGGAGTAGTCACATGCTGGCCTGATCCCCTCCAAACGACAGCAGTGTTGAGCAGCTAAAGACAGAGTTAGATGACGAATTAGGTGTGAAGTATTAATATGTAGATGGTGACTGGCCAGGGACACATTCAATATGCCAATTATAGAAGTTGATGAACTCAACCCTTGGGTGTAACACGAAAAAGATCAGGGGAAACAGGATTGCCATGGAACAATGAGATAGGAACGAGAACAATGAAAGGAGACAGTATGAGCCAAACAACAGAGCAGGGAACAAACTGGACAAAGGAGATGATCCAGAAATGAATGAAAATACAGGTGGGAAAAGGAAGAGAAGAAAAGGCAAAACAACCTACCCGGACAACCAAAGTACAGGGAATACAGGCAGGAAAAGGAAGAGAAGGAAAGAGGAGAAAAGGCAAAACAACCTACCTGGACAGCCAAAGTACAGGGAATACAGGCAGGAAAAGGAAGAGAAGGAAAGAGGAGAAAAGGCAAAACAACTTACCCGGGCAGCCAGGGAAGGAATGATACATCTGTATGATGAAAAGATACAATAAATGTTAAAGGTTGGTACAAAAATTGGAACAACAAAGACCACATGCCAGGAGGGGGAGGATTGAGTTTGTAAGAGAAATATTTTAAAAGGAACAAACTGCAATGGGTTCAAAGGAAGAACTAAACAGGATAGGAAGAACAACATGGAGATCTCAATCTGGCAGAACAAAGGAAACATGTCAGATGGACAAGACAAAAGAAATGGTACAACCCGAGGAATAGAAACTTTCTGAAACAGGGATAAAGGAGGGAGTTCAAAAAGGCAGCTCTATAAAAAGCAACAGTTGAAACAGACAAACCCTGAACAAACAACCAGATGAAGAGCTGGAATGGGTGAGGAATAGGAGGGACCAAAGACTGAAGAAAGACTTATGCCTCTGGTACATAGACAAAGAGGAAGAGCAAAAGATGTAGACACAAAGGGTGAGTCCCTGAACTGAGGCATAGGAGCGGACAAAAGACACACTGAAAGATAGAGTATAGTAACATTGTGATGAAAAACGACAGATTACAGCAAACAGAGAGTGAACAGGACAGAGAAAGAGGCAGGGTCTGTTGCTCCATGAAGGGCCAGAGCAGAGGGAACTATTTCAGAGCTGACACATCCGGAGCAACAAACATAACATAAGAAGGAGGGGTCTAGACAAGAAAAAAAACCCAGGAGAGGAATCTGAATGGAGGGTAAGCATATAGGGGCGATCTCCTGCGCCGAGATACATGACTGGACAAAAGTCACTCTGAAAGAAGGAGTGTGGAGATGTCTGGATGAAAAAACATTAGATGACGAATGACTGAGGAGTGGACAGGACAAAGAAAACGACAAGGTGTGTTGCTCCAGTAAGGGCCAGAGCTGAGGGGACCACATCTGATCAGCCAATACAAAAGAACCAGGAAAGCACAACAAGGTTTGGTCTGGATAAGAGAAAATACCCAAAAGATGAGTCAAATCAGAGGGTAGGCAAATAGGTGAAGTCCCCTCCGATTTTGACTGAAAGTATCTATCTCCACAACTGAAGGGTGAGGAACTGAAAACTAAAAGGAAGAAAGTGTGTCATACCATTGAATGGGAAACACATACATATATGCAGTGCTCCCAGTTGAGAACACACCCACAGAAAAACGTGAGGATGAAGAGACCACTCTGGGGAGAACCTGGTGGAGACACAATAAGAGATTGGCCAAAGGAATCAGAACTCGGGGAACATGACCCACCAGAATAGTCACATCAAGGTCATTGGGCCAGTACATAAAACCCAGTTTCTGACCAGACAGAGATTGGTATGTGGTTCCCCTTTCTTTGTTATAAAGCTGAAAATGGTGTAATTGCAGAAAGAACCAAAACCATTCTCCCTGCAGGAAAGGATACAGAGCCCAATGAACTGCCAAGGAACCAGGATGTGGATATGGAGAGTAGCCTCCTCGACTGAAAACTAACACAAAAACTCAAGGGAATCGAGGAAAATGGGATAGTCCAAGGGATTGTGATGGAAATTCCACTGGTCAAGAAGTATCCAATGAAGGGAATGCAAGTGTGTCCAACCCAAGGGAATGAGCACTTCCAAGGAAGACCACATCCCAAAAGAGAGAGAACCTCATGGACATAGAGACAAGAAGAAGGTATGGCAAATGTGACTGTCTGGTTGTGGAAGTATAGAGAGGGAAGAAATAAGCACTGCTAGGCATACTGGCCTATACATCCTAAACAATGGTGTCTTTAATGCCACACATTATCAGGACCACATTCTATGACCCTTTGTATTGCCATATGTTGGTGCAATTAGTCCTAACTTCAGCCTAATGAATGATAAACTACAGCTCCCCATACTAAACTGGTTGACATAATCATTGAAAAAGACACTGACTAAATGTTGGGGACATGTTTGCTCACCAATATCCAATCTCATAGAGTATATAAGAGAATGTTCTAGGGAGACATTCCACATTCCATCAACTCCAGACACATGTTGGGGACATGTTTGCTCACCAATATCCAATCTCATAGAGTATATAAGAGAATGTTCTAGGGAGACATGCCACATTCCATCAACTCCAGACACTTTATTCCCTAGAAAGAGCTCTTTCAGAAGAGTGAATAAATGCACCTCAGGACACTACCAACATTGATCTTACGGAAGCAACACCAGTATCAGAGTATCCACATAATTCATGATAACCAGATTACATAGTGAAGTGAAATGTCATGAAATTCAAAGCTACACCTTGCCTTTTAGATCTTCAGATGACAGATTCATAAAAATATGAACCAAATGCCAATTAATACTATAACAGTAATATTCTCTTGCAATAACTAAAATGCAAAAGCTATGTTCTAGGTGTTTAATAAATATATAAGGATCAAATGTAAGTTGTTATTGTTTTGCATCCAGTTTTATCCTAATTTTGTAGGTATGTTATATCTAGTAGTGTTTTAACATATTGTTAATATTAATATATTTTATCACACTTTACAAATTTCACAACTTACATTGTCTTATACTGTATGGCTTGTTTCCATTATGAATAGTTTATTGAGTCTTCTTCTTGGTGAGGATAGTGTTCCTTTTTTACCAAATAATTTAATTTTCACTAGTATAGTTCTTCTAAAACAATCAGATAAACACAATTAGGAGTTTTTGCTACTGGACTATCTAACAAAATGATAAGTAAATAGATCAAACAGCAATCTATGATGCAGTTAATTCTTTATCATGCAGTTCATGTTCTCCGATTTTAACAGTAAAAACATTTCTAACAAATTTTAATGAATAAATAATTCTGCAACTTTGTACTTACCACAAGTACCTATCAACCCAGAATCAGTTTGTAGCAATTCATCTTTAAATTCATTTTCTTCTTTCACACTCATGATTTCATCTTTTAAACTATCTATATCATCATTACCACTCTCACTAAACTCAGAAATAGTCTCATCTTTCATATCACCAGGCTGCTCGGTTGTCATTCTGACAAATGTATTCTGAAATGCAAATAACATAGTCACCATACACTGTACATAAAAATATTTTTTGAATTACACTTGATAAAAACTTATTTCATTTGTCCTAGAAACTTCTTATTCACCTACCAAGTTATGAACACGCAGCACTGAAGCAGTTAAACACTTATTGTTTACCAAGGAAGTAAAATCCAAAGCTAAAAACTTCAGATGCAAAATAATTATTAAAAGTAATTTTAACACTCATAATGCTTGCATTTTCCAGAACATGTTATGAATATCATCACACCTAGGGGATAGACTACTGTCAGAGTTCAAAAATATATTAAGAAAAGAAAGGGGTGTATTGCAAGGGTAGTCTATTGATACAATTAATTACTACATGTAATTCATAAATAGCAACAACATATCTTTTTTTTTCAAATTTCCATGACTTAAGATATAATTTCTTAACCTTTCACTTTGACTAACTGGAAACTAGCACTTGAACCACTTTCAAAGGTACCGTTATGTGATATGAAATCCTCAGCTAATCTTTGTTTGTCTCACTGGAAACAACTCAATAACATGAATGAAGAAAAAGATCTTGGTATAGTGGTGGATAAGTTTCTCAAGCCATTGAGGCAGTGCTCTTCTGATAATAATAATAAAGGTACTAAAATTTTCTGATATAGATGTACTGATTACAAATCAAAGAAGGATTTCTGTATTTATACATACACAAATCACTAGTTAGGCCTACTTGAAATACTGTGCATAGCTTTGGTCTCCTTATCAAAGAAAAGATACTGATTTACTGTAAAGAGTTCAGTGAAGAGCTACTAGAGTGATTCCAGGGACAGCAGGGTTAGCTTTCAGGCATAGGTTAAGAACTCTTATTTTATCTTGAGAAAAGATGGGTAAGAGGTAATTTTATTGAATTCTTTGTACTATATTTTGATGATAACAAAACAAGAGTACACAAGTCTAAGATTTGGAAAAGTCTTGCAAGTTTCCAGTTAAGATAGTTTTATTTTTCTAACAGGGGGAATGTCATGTGGAATGAGTTGCCATTAGCAGTAACATAGTCCAGGACTTTCCTGTTCACAGGAGTTTAAAGGAGGATTTGATGATTTCCTGAGAAGTATAGAGTGAGATTAAATTTTTAATTTTTCAAAGTTTGTGTGTGCAAGGACAGTCTTAAAGGACCAAATATTCCTTTGTTGACCATGGGTCATGCTTTGTTATGTTATTTAAAACAAATAAGCTTAATTTTGCTAAATAATAATGTTTCTTTTCTTTCTTGGATGTTTCTATCTAATTGTCAAGTTTTTTCAAATATGTTTTAATTAAAATTAGAAACTGCAGAATGAGGATGTCTTTTGGTTCTTTACTAACAATGTCTTCTCTTGGTAGTACCAAATATTCAGTCTGACTAACTCATTAGACAAAACTTCTTTATAGAACAGTTACTTTTATAATTCACTCAAATAATTAAGTTGTTAATAAAAAATCAGCTAATTCTTTATCAATGCTTCATTGATATGAAGTACTACATATTTTACAATAAATGATGTCTGTCAATAGATGTCAGTAATGTGCTTAAACAGTAAGTCTGAGTACAGTTAATTTCTAAAGCTAACATTCCCTGAAGCCCATATGCTCATTTTATTATGGGTGGCAAGTAGGCTTTTTTATACTCTAGTTGAAATGTGTAAGAAATTGAAAAGTACACATGTGGAAAGTAGCCAACAATACAAAATGGTCAGACAATAACTTAATGAAAAAAATGATTAGAAATTTACTTATTGTTTGACTAAGGAAGTCACGGTAAGTTAACCTCTCTCTAATGCTTAGTACTTCTAGTGGTTAACCACTTGATACTCTTAAAGTGACTAATGAGTTTTCTAACAAGTATCTTTAAAAGTAATATTTGTCTAAGAAATATGATTAATGTCAACATGAAGCAGTAGATGTCAGATTTATAAATTCAGGTACTTATGTATTTGAATGATTAACAGTTAGGCTACTTGCCTATTTGTATAATATTAAAGCATAAAAGGTAAATATCATATAATTAACCAGAACTACAAAGATAAAACTGTTATTGGTAACAAATATACATTACATTGTATCATGTGACATACATACAAGGCTGATATTCCCTTCATATACTGCAAGTTAACACACACTGAGTCTTAAAGTGGTAAAAATAAAATGACTGCAAGTTCTTATCATGTTGAAAGTTTAGTATTCCATCAGTTCTTCTAATGGTGGAATAGCAATCTTTACTCCGTTAAGACATAACGTGTTTGTTTGTTTGTAGTTAAGCACAAAGCTACACAATAGTGTTGTGGTGTAAGTACAATCCCCCATCACGCTAAAGTCGGGTAAAACTGACCACAAGATAAAAGACTGACGGATCCAAAACAAAATCAAATGGTAAGGTGCAAAACTGGTACCCAACCCATAGTGAAGAAACCAAAGATAGCATCATGAGAGGTGAAAAATAGGAACATGGGTATAAGAATATGAAACATCTACCTTGGGCCCGGAGTGTGATAAACAACAATATAGTAAAACGGGAAAGAACCAAGAAGTGATTGAGGCAGAACAGATCAATCACAGAACTCCACTCAGCATCGAGAATACATGAGTAATGGACGAACCCTTAATGGACAGGTAAATGATGGACATGAAAAAAGAATGCAATGGCTCAGAATGAGATAATGAGCATCCAAAAAAGAAAAATCAAATGGAGCATCACAGATACCCCATGTGATGCTAATGTCACAAAAGTAACCCCCTTCTCCCCCCTAAAAACGTACTTATGGAGAAAAAGCTGTCCGTAAGTTCTGAGTAGAAGTGGACGGTAAAAGAACTTGGTACGAGACAGTGTCTCATCCCAGAAGATCCCAAAAGCAAAGAATCCACGTGTGTAGGGAAAGAGCTGAAGATGGTAATCACCCTAACATGGGGGTAAGGATGGGGAAAGTATCCCACAAAAATCCCCAAGAAGTAGGTGGAATGCCTCAACAAGTAGGTGTATGGCAAAAATTCCTGTAGGAGAGTCAACAGAGAAAGACAAAAGCTGGAAAACTTAATGAGGGATAAAAAGATAGGATTATCAGGTTCTGCACCCCCCATATGGGCAACAGAGATTTTAAGTGCAGAAAATCAAGAAAACAAAAAAAAAATCTGCCTAGTTGTAAGCTAAGTAAAAATGAACCAAAACTCACGGAGGGCAAGGCATGCAAGCACCCTCTCTCAGAGGAGAGATAATAGGACCCAGCCTGAACCATAATGTCTGGAGAAGGGAAGGAGGAGGATAATTACTGTGAAACGTGTCTAAAATGGCTGAAGTAGGCCTGGCAGACTCCACAGGAAAGGTCTGGGAAGGCAAGGCATAATCAAATGGAGGAAAAATGTCAAAATCTACATCATCCCAAACAGGTTCAGCAGTTTTAGGAAGAAGGTGAGCAATATTAGGAGAAGGTTGGGCAGACCCCAGCCCTAGGGATACTCACAAACCAAATTAATTGTAAGAAGTAGAAAAATATAAATAATTACGAAAATGAAATAGTCTTTATATTGTAAAATTAGATACATGTGCATTGACAATAAAAAATTTATTAGATGGTATTTGATGAAGAAAACAATATATTTAATCTAATTTACATTTATCAGTAAAATGAATCACAGGTAAGTCTAAAATAATGAAGATACTTGTTAAGCCTAATGTAACTTTGTAGTACAAAGAATATCACAGCTCTAATTCAAAGCCCCAACCTTACAAGAAGTATTTATATACCTAACTAAACTTATGTTATTGAACCCAAATAACAAGAAATAATAATATTAATATGAAAAAAGTATTGAAAAATCTATAACAGTATAACAACTTATCTGTTCAAAGTCAGCAGACCATATTCAACATGTGTGAGCTGCCAAACTTGAGGCCTAATGAAGGTCAACTCATATAAATATCAATCTCCCAACATATAAAAGCTGACAATTCCTCCGACTAGTACCACCACCTGAAGCTGTAAGTGTGCTGGAAGTAAATGATATCACTTTCGAAGTGGAAACATAAACTTTGGTGAAAACCAAAAAAATGTGAAGAACAATAAAGGTAAGTGATCACTTTAAATTGTTAAAGTGAAGTAGGGAAAAAAAGAAAAAATATCCACTTTGTATTAATTTCTTTTTTTTAAATGTGGGAAGAGAGCACAAACAAAAAGCATCATGATGACAGCACTGCCAAATGAGAGATGATAGTTTGGTAGAATCGAATAGAGGGAGTCACGTGTGTCATGAGGGTGTGTTGCATTCCTACTGGTGGAGGGTTGTAACATGATAATTTACATGCAAGGTACAGTTAAACCACACTGATCGTGGGATACGTGGGAGCTCAAGGCTTGTGGTATGCGAAAACATTTTTGCATACAGAGGGCAGCACTGAACAAGAATAGCTATATCTGTGAGAGGAGGTAAGTTACCATTTCAAAAATTGTGCTGTAATGTGAAAATGAAAATTCTTATATTACAGTGTATTTGTCCACAGTTGAAAAACATTTCAGGTTATCAGCAGTGACTTAAGATTAGATTACACTCAAATATAGATCAAAGTAATAAATTAGAACAACAATAATGACTAAATGTTATCTCAAAACTGTATAGCAATTTTCCCTGAAAAGAAAAGTAGAACAAATTTTTAATCTAAAAAATTACCTCAACTTTTTCTTTCACTTCACCATAGTTTTCTTCTTGCTCCATTTTCATTCTACCAAGCTCAAGAATGAAATGTCCTTCTATGAAACTAGCTTTCCCTGTTTCAAGAGATGCAAGTTATATATATTTTTGTGTGTAACAAGATATAATTCATAGTTCAGTGCATCATCTTAAAAATCCTCACTATCTACTGTTACACAATCCTTAATTTTATAAATCAAGTGAAAGTACACCATTCAAAACTAATTAGAATTTGAATTCTGAGGAAGAAAAACTACAAAAATGGTAGTTAAAATTTTGAAATGCTGATCTTTCATTAGTTAAAGTTGAAAACAATTAGGAAATGTTTACTAGTAAAGAACAATAGATCAATGTGTTCATTTATAAAGTGCCCTATTGTGAACTAGCACAATCATACACCTAGATTTTGATGTAGAAATTGAGGAGCTCAAATTAAAGTACTTATTTTATAAAGACTATGAACTTCATTTCTTCAAATAATGTTATGGCTGTTACACACAAATTAAAAAATACTTTATTATGCCTAGCCTGTGTGTGGAGATTTGTTAAAGATTGCAGATATTACTCAATACCGAGAAGTTTAAGAATGTACAATATATATATATTACGTACCTTGTTGTCTGTATCTATGTTACTAAGGAACAGTGGCATCATCAACACTTATTCCATGTGCAAAACATTTCCTCACATACTAGGTTTTACACACTGTTCAAGTAGAAAAAATACACATTATGTAAAATTTAAGAATATGGATAATATGAAACCATCACTTACCTTAATAATGTCCTAAATGTGCACATTTCTTTAACATTTTTCAAAGCATAACTCATGTAATCTCAAGTAATTTTCTAGCTACAGATATAAAAACTATATAACTGCTGTTAATGTACATATTTGACAATGTAATAAACTAACAACACATATTTTCATATCACTAAAGGGCACTTTATAAACCTCATTTGTGTTATATTACATTATCACTATTTCTAACAAAGCAAATCTGTATCCTGAATAATTCTGTCATTTCACCCTTTTCTAAAGTACACTTGCTAAATTTTGTCGGAATAAATAACTTTTTTCTGCATAAAGACATGAATTTACAGTGAATAATGTGTTTATAGTTAAAAAAGGCAAGATTCACTACAAAGCAAGAACTATTTACATTCTAAAAATCTGTACTTACTATAAGGTGATATTTCTATGGTTTCTTCTTCATTTTTTGGCAATTTGACATCCAACAAAACTCTCTGTTCCTCATCATACAATGGTTCAACTTTCATCTTCAATATTTCCATGATTTTATCAGTGTGTTCCTCAGGTTTATATGCCTACAAAAACAAAAAAGAAAAGAAATTAGAAACTACATTCTTCTAAAAGATTATTGTCACCAACTATTCCAACTTACAAGAAAATAACTTACATTACCATGACAACTTTTATGCCAACAGACAAGTTTTTAGCTTTAAATTATAACTGTTAAGGTTTTTTAGAGTGACACATTATAGTGTTGTAAAACTAATCTGTAATAATTAACACAATGTACTGACAAGGTGACCATTTGGTCCTTTACGGTTGTCCCTATACAGTGATCTTTGAAAATAAGTAAAAACATAAACCAATCCTTTATTTTTTAGAAAATCAAAGAATACCCTTTTAACCCATGTAAAAATGCCAACTACTACTAAAAGCACTTATTCCATAAATCAATCATTCTGTTACAAAAATAAAACTGTTTTAATTGTAGCCTAGCCTGACTGTATATTGTCTTAAGTACAACTGGAACAGAAGTGAGATACTAAACAATCTGGCTAATAAACAAAATAACATGAACAGTAAGTGAGAAATGTTTATATAAAACTTAACTTTTTCCATAATGAAGGATGTTGAGTGAGACATTTAATATGTGTTACGTTACTACGTCCAGTGAATAGGATTTGATTTTTTGTCCATTTGTTGCTTTGTCACTGATCGGAACTTTGATGTAGTTTTCAGGGAGTGCAGCTATGCTGCATGATCAATGATCTGGTCACCACAAAGTTATGATTGTTTGTCCATGTGTTGCTTTGTCACTGATCGGAACTTTGATGTAGTTTTCAGGGAGTGCAGCTATGGTGCATGATCAATGATCTGGTCACCACAAAGTTATGATTGTTTGTCCATGTGTTGCTTTGTCACTGATCGGAACTTTGATGTAGTTTTCAGGGAGTGCAGCTATGCTGCATGATCAATGATCTGGTCACCACAAAGTTATGATTGTTTGCTATTGCAAAATACAGCCAAGAATGGAGGTTGCAGAAAGGCAGCCATGTTAAGCAGGAAACCAGAATGACAAGTTTTCTCTATAAGTGTGGACGTCTGTTGAGACAGACATTTGTCACCATGAAGGGGCTGAATACTAGTGTTTTTGTGTTCCATAGGTAAGTAATACTCTATTATTTCTTTGTAGCTACTTTCATCAATATATGTTTAATATATCTAGTTCTGTTAATTTTATTATCATACTTTCATCATAACAACTGTTTTGCATTTATAGCATAGTATATGTAATTATGACTAATCTAAATTTTCTTAGCTGGCCAAACTTCATGAGACATTACTTGGATTATGACCAAAAACATTGTTGACAGCAAGGGTACCCATGAAACAATGCATTCTAAACTTTATACATAAGAAAGCAAGAAAAGTATATTCAATTAGCTAGTCATCAACAATAACAGGTTGAATTTTAGTTTTGCTCTATGTAGGTAGCTTGCTCTGATCATAAATTAACATTAATTTCCATCATATTTTCCATAAAAATTATCAATATTTAATTTTGATCTTTTATTAAGTTCAGATAATAAATTCCTAGCCCTAAAATGGCTAAACCACTTTACAATAACACCTATTACAACAAGCCAAGTGTACTAGACTGCTCTATGAACAACAGTGAATGGCTCATCAGGTGAGACAAGCAAGAATTTCCATGTTCCTAAATTTAAACACTTAAACCAAACACTTCTTTTTATCATTAATTATGTTGTGGTCATAAAAATCTGTGAGTGTGTGATAAAACATTAATTGTTACTAAAGCTTCAATCACAATTCATTATTTCAGCATTAGGAAACAATAAGTTCAAACAAACAACCTATTGCCATTCAAACAGGGAATATTGGTTCAGCAAGCTACAGGTGCCTAACAAGGAGGTGAGAAATAAGCTCCATTGAGACAAGAAGTTGCAGGATGCAACAAAAGTTGGTTTCAGTTTATTGAAATTGAAAATACAGCCACATATTGTGAATGTTCCATCTGTCAAAAGAGGTCACTTACTACAACTAGAAAGTAATAATTATAAGACTCTTCATGGTCTCACATTTTTAGGGTGATATCTTGGATGCAGTCTGTGGTTGCTCAAGCTAATGTTAATTTTTCACTGATTGAAAAAGAACTACGTGATATAATATAGGCATTTTGGACAGAATAAAGACAAGAAAAAAGTTACAAATTCAAAAACCAATTCACCAACTACACATGGAAATCTAATTCAATATTAAAAAATTATCTACACCAAGCAGTAAATTTCAAGTATTTCTTTATACTGTGAGAGAGTTACATTACCACTACTGTCTGTTTAGTGTTATAATTAATTGAAAACTATATTATTAGCATAAAATTAAATGCCTTGTTTCTTTTACATACACAACTTACAGTAGCACTGAAGACTGAAGCACAAAACCTCACCAATATAAACAAATATTTTTTACAATGGAAATATATATCTATCATTTATCTGTCTTTTTTTTTTTCAATGTGAAATATGAAACTGGTTTCTAAATTGTTAAATGTAAGCTTGACCAAATACGACATTTTTAAACATTTTTAACAACATTTACTCTTGGTTTAATTGAAAATTAGTACATAAAATGGTTGTTTGGTGTTGAAATGATGTTGCTATAATAATAATAATACACTAGACAATTACAGTCTGCAACAATTATTTAGTATTTTTAATAATACCATCTTAAGAAATTATTAAAAACCGAAAAACTGGTTTCATAAAATACGTAGTTAAAAAATGTTACAACTTATATTTTGTGTTATGTTACTTTGACTTTGAGAAGAAAGAACAATTATGTACCATATTTTACCAAGAACACAAGCGAGGAATGCTGACATTGTAATATAATAATTTTCCAGTTTCAGTCGTCATGCTCAATGTCAATATGCTATAGCTACGTATTTAACGTAAATACACCCACTACTAAGTACAGCTAAATCATATGTAAATGAGACACTGGTCATGTATTTTACGATCCGATACTATACTAAATAGAATCTTAGTGTTAGACTAAAGAATAAGGTGGAGTTTTATTTGGTCACTGTCTAGTTCTCACAGAAGGTAAAACAATTGAATTTATAAATAATGAGACATCAATGGACATAGGTCCATTGTAACTTGTAGTTGTACAGCTTAACTTACCTGGAACAGTGGACGCAATTTAACACACTAATAAATTAACAAACAATTTAAGCACAATGGTATTTATTGTACAGTTTGTCATCTTCAACCATGTCCTAATTCTCAACAAATAAAAAAATACACTTCAGATTCTCCATATATTCGTCAATCTAGGATTAGGATGGTGTAACTTGTAAGTGTAACGTATTATCGGTGTAGTAAAAAGGAAAATAAAACATACTACTTACCTTTAAAAATTGAATTATTGAAACTGTTTGACGTGTTAGTACTGTTCTTAAAAATCTATATGTTTTCCCTTTTAATTTCTCAAGTTCCTCATTGTCATTATCACATTCAAAAATTAAAGAAATGCCCTCAGAAATGAGCGTAATATATTACCAGTGTAGCGGCAGTTTACATTTTTGATGACAAGAATAAAGTTCGAAGTACAGAGCAAAAATTGGTCCGTAATTTTTTATCTTCTCTTTTTTGTACATATAATATAGTATATTAATTGGTTGTTGGGAAGCGCAAGCTACACAATGGGCTTTCTTTGCTATGCTTATCACAGGTATCGAAACCCGATTTTTAGCGTCATAAGCCCACAGATTTATCGCTGAGCCACTAGGGGACACAGTAAATTATGAATCAACTTGCAAATATTCATTGTAGATATCAATTTTTATTAGAATCATTCGTGCATTTTAATAAAGAAGCAGTGTTTTTTATTTCGCTGAACTTATTTTATACTTTTCCCGCGGATTTGAGTGTCGTTGAACATGCACGACCTGAGATGCATTACTTCCAAAGAGGAATAACAGACGTTCAAAACAATTAGTATCTACTCACCTAAATTCACAATCCAACATATCAATATCTAAGGCGCACTTGCTTCCAAGAAACACGAGATTGAAGACACAATCCGACAAACAAACCTAAATATACTAGTAATAAGTGAAACTTTACTCTATACAACCAATACATTTAAAATCAGAGGATATACAATATTAAGGTCCCCCAGTAGCACAGCGGTATGTCTGCGGACTTACAACGCTAGAATCCGGATTTCGATATCCGTGGTGGGCAGAGCACATATAGCCCATTGTGTAGCAAACAAAACAATATTAAGCAAAGATAGCATAAATAATTAAGACGCAAATAGAGAAATAGACCTACTATATTGTTACGTACCTGCTCGTTTGTTAATTTCCGGTATAAATTCTTTCCGAGGAACTTCAGCGACACAAGTGTTTTCTTAATTAAAACGAGTTTATTTTTCTCGATACAACTTTGTAATACACAGAATTTCCACAGTCAATACATTTGCAATCTCGATAACAAAACACATACTTTATATTACCGTCACTACCGTTCGCTTGACTCATTTATCTGTCGCTATATCTATCTATCTATATATCTCTGCAATTGCGCTGGTTTTTCTCGCCAGGCTTATATACTGAAAAAGAGGGCGCCTCGAACAAACTCGGGCCTCCCCGATAATTCATGATCCTTCCAAAAACTCCAGCGCCATGCTCCCAACGTCACGCGACTTCCGCTATCGTAACAATATAAATGGCCCAGCATGGCCAGGTGGTTGGGGCGCTCGACTCGCAATCTGAGGGTGGCGGGTTCGAATCCCTTTCACACCAAACATGCTCACCCTTTCAGTCGTGGGGATGTTATAAGGTGACGGTCAATACCACTATTCGTTGGTAAAAGAGTAGCCCAAGGGCTGGCTGTGGGTGGTGATGACTAGCTGCCTTCCCTCTAGTCTTACACTGCTAAATTAGGGATGGCTAGCGCAGATACCCCTCGTGTAGCTTTGCGCGAAATCCGTAACAAACAAACAATATAAATCAAGCCTCTCTGTATGTGAAATAAATATGCATTCAACAAATGAATGTATTATAGTAGATATATATTTATATAACAATATGAATATAACAGTGACCGGCATATACTGTTCGCCCAATAAACTAACAGATATTAATCTATTATAAATCAATATTTATAGGCGATTTCAATAACAAACACAGAAACTTTGGGTGTAAAACAACAAATATGAACAGAAAAAAGCTATTAGAAATCACAGAAGAAAAATGTAGCATTACTAAATGATAAAACACCGACGCATACATTATAGGTGTATGGAAGTAATGAAATACTGGACCTATGTTTATGCTCCTTCGATATAAGCCAAAAATGTGTAAAATTTAGAGTAGGGCAAGATATTGTTACGTCTCCGTTCGTTAGTTAATTTTCCGCAAATTCTTTCCGACGAAACTTTGGCGACACAAGACCTTTCTTAAATAAAACTGGTTTATTCTTTCCGAATACAACTTTACGATACATTTAATTTCAACAGACGTTCTATAACAACGCTATAACTCACGTCTCACGTGACCAACAATATTTTATCCGCATACATTCAATTACTCATTACC